TTTAAGCACTGATTTTTTTTTTTTAACTAAGCATTTTGAAGGATTGGATTCCAAGGAACACTGGGAAAATGCTTCTCTAATGGCAGATTTAGATACTGGATGGTTGCTTTACTGTCTCAGAATAGATTAGCTCCTGGCTCTGTGGTGTTAATCACAATGTCCTAATGACTAACCCAAGGAAGGCAGAGTGTGCAGGAGACGGTGCTGAAATGAGATCGAAGCTTTCTCCTTGGCTCCATCTATCCTTTGCCTTTGAATAATGAGCACCACCTGCAACCACTTATTGGCTCCATAAGTAAGAGTTTTTGTCTATTTTATTCTGTTATGTATCTTTGGTGCCTGGCACAAGTGCTCAATAACTATTATTTGTTGACTAAGTGAACTTCTGGCCTTCACTGTCTTGGCAAAGTTACTAAAAACCTAACATTGCCATTTTTTTTTGCTTAGTGCGTGCCTTGCAGCTGCAGAACAGATCCTTCTGGAGATTCAGGAAGTATGAGAACAGTAATGACATCTCATTTGTAAATAAAATGAACCCCATATTTGCCCAAGTCAGACCAACCTGGGATGGGGAGCAGGGATACACTGAAGCCATTTCGAGCCCCACCAGCTGAATCCCCCAGTTCCATATTGCCCAGTGCATAAGAATGATCTTTATCAACTTCTATGGCATGTAAGTTTTATAAATAAATGCAATCAATATAAATAATCAGTATGTAAATACAAATTTAAAATATTTTCTTTCTATTCTCTACTAAACTATATGTCATGAAACTGCTTACCATGTGATACAGGGTAAAATGGTCATCAAATCACTCTAATAATTTCTAACTCATGATTGAATTTTAGAAATTGCTGGCATGATCTTATCTATATATATAAAAGCCTAAGCAACCGAACAACCGGTTGACCGGTTGCTATGATGCACACTGACCATCAGGGGGCAGATGCTCAACACAGGAGCTGCCCCCTGGTGGTCAGTGCACTCCCACAGCCAACCTCCCTCGGCCCTGACCGGCCCTGATTGCTGGCCAGACCAAGGGACCCCACCTGTGCACAAATTTATACACTGGGCCTCTAGTATTTGATAAGCTCTCATAAAATGAAAAGTGGCTTATCTCTAAGCTACAGTTTTGTGCGTAAAACTGTACTGAACTCTCCCAGGGACCTCACCATTAAACCAATGGTCATTAGATTAGGGGCCAGGTATTTGCTTCAGTGGCAGGGTGATGGGATGGGCTGCCCTCATGTTCTGGATGCTAGTGCTTCTCACATAGCCTGAACCTGAAGGGCCTTTGCTTCCACTCCCACCTACAACCCTGCCACCAGCCAGGCCTGTACCACCACTCTTGCCAATCCTGACCCCTCCTGGGCAGCAGGCAAGGTCTGTGTTCCCTTCAGCTACCACCTTGGTCTGCTCAGCTTATGTCCCAATGTCCAGATGCACCAGTCCCAAGTCCCATTGCCACTTACGCAGAGGCTGTTGGATGTTGTCATTCTGTGACATGTGGTCTAACATAAGCTATTTGCCAATCATCTGGGCAGTATATTTTAACCTGCAATAACACCATGCCAGTGTATATTAGCTGAATATCAGCCATGGCCCAATCCCTTCTGAGTAGTTCAGAAAGTCTCAAAGTCTTCTCCCACATCTATTCAAATCAAGTATGAATGCTTTTCTTTTATCTCATGATATCTACCATTTCTTCTTCTATCTCTCACCTCCATAAAATGGCTCCCATATTTATGTGTTGATTCCTGGAAGCAGCTACTGAGTTTGCTTTATCTCTTAAAGTCACTCACGTAGTGTTGCCCTGCTGATGCTCTATCTCCGAGCTAAAGCAGGATAAAATCTCTCCTGTTGGCCTGAATGCTCACAGTTGCCAAGCCAAGGCTGCCTTTTTCTCTTTGTAACTTACTCCTTCCTACAACCTTGAGTCTCATGATAACATTATCAGAAAACAACCTGGCCATCATACCACTCTTAGTTTACTGTTGCCTCCTACAATTCATCATCTTCTGTATTAAACCTGTACATATTTTCCAGTTTTATTGATATATAATTGATCTACACCATTGTATAAGTTTAAGGGGTACAGCATAATTACTTGATTTACATATATTGTGAAATGATCACTACAATAAATTCAGCTAACATCAGGTAGACATAAGAAGAAAAAGATTTTCTTCTTGTGATGAGAATTCTTAAGATCTACCCTCCTAACCAACTTTTCACTATACCATACAGTAGTGTTAGTGATAGTCATCATGTTGTACATTACATCCCAGGTACTTATTTATCTTATACCTGGACATGTGTACCTTTCAACCACCTTTATCCAATTCCCCAACTCCCTACCTCCATCTGTCACCTCTGGTAACTAAAAATATGATCTCTTTTCCTATGAATTTATTTATTTTTAAGATTCCACATAAAAGTGAGATCATACAGTATTTGCCTTTGACTTATTTTACCTAGCACAATGCCCTCAAGTTCCATCCAGGTTGTCACAGATGGCAGAATTTTCTTCTTTTTCATGGCGGAATATTCCATTGTATTAATATACCACAACTTCTTTATCACTTCATCCTTTGATAGACACTTAGGTTGTTTCCATATCTTGGCATTTGTAAATTATGCTGCTAGATAGCGCTTCAACAGAGTGTTTTTGTTTCCTTCCTATATATGCTCAGAGTGCAATTGCTTAATCATATTGCCCATTTTTAAATTGGATTATTTGGGGGGTTTTTTGCTACTGAATTGTATGATTTCTTTATATATTTTATTTTTTTAAATATATTTTTATTGATTTCAGAGAGAAAGGGAGAGGGAGAAAGAGATAGAAACATCAATGAGAGAGAGAATCATTGATCGGCTGCCTCCTGCATGCCCCCTACTGGGCATGTGACCTTGACCAGAATAGAACTTGGGACCCTTCAGTTCGCAGGCTGACACTCTATCCACTGTGCCAAACCGGCTAGGGCTATATATTTTAAATATTAATCCCTTATCAGATATATTATTAGCAAATATTTTTCCCATTCTGTACGTTGTCTTTTCACTCTGTCAATCGTTTCTTTTGCTGTGCAGCCTATACATTTTGACACTCTTTCTGTCCTGAATAATTCCCCCCACCCCCAATAGCTTAAGAAGAGGGCTTGGACCCCCAATGGTTTAAGCGAAATTGTTCTCAACATGCTGGGCATCAGGAGTAGCCAGTTGCATGGTACCAAGGCATAAAGATAGAAAACTCCATAAGTGAACTGGATTTGCATCAGGGGTTGAGAACCCTTCGCCTAGGGGTCTGATTTGTCCAAAGCAAGTACTCAATTTTCCCCTCCATTTATCAGGCCCTCTGCTGGCTCTGCCGGCATGCCTCCACGGGATCTCTTAGGAAATTCATATACAATTTGGTTGTTACTCTGGAACCCTTGCCACTCTATGAACTACTCCTGTGGACAGTGATGCACAATTTCCTTTAGGTTAATTCTGTAAGTTGCATTAAAAAAAAAAAGATCTGACATCACAAGGAAACCACTTTTAGTTGCTCCATTTCCTGGAGCCTACAGCTGGCAAAATGCCTAAGACAAGATGTATTCAAGTCAAAGCAGAACTGTGTTAGGAGAAACAGATGGCCCACCTAAGGTGGCAAAATTGCTTTCTTGAGGGGAGAGGGAGGGTGGTTAATTCGCCTCTGCCTCTAGGAAGGTGGGGATGTGTGGAGGCAAAATAAATAAAACACGTTACAAATGCATCCCACAGATGAACAGAATAATCGGTGCTGAGCAAGGCTACAGGAGGCATCTTTCTGCCTCCAAGCAGGCTGTGGGAGCTTGTCACATGCCTATTAAAATGCTCCCAGAACCTGAAAACCATTCCATCAGAGGAAGTAGTAAGAACCAACACATAATTAAGGAAACCAACCATCAGTAACCCTCTCTGAGAGCTGCTGATGAGGGACTGAGAAGATTGGGGCTGAGCCAGGAGGTTCAGGAAAATGACTGAAGAGAAAACAAAACAGTGAGAATGGTTTTGTGCCTCATCTGAAGAAAGCTGGGATGAAGGTGGATGGAGGGGTAGGAGATAGGTAATCTGCCGTTGTTTAGGAAAGGGGAGGTCAGGCAGTGAGAAATTGTTGCAGATTACCCAACACTTTCCAGAGGAGAGACACGTTTCCTGGAGGTCACTGGTGTTCAGATCACCTGGAAAACACATTCCATTCACAAGGCTTTCCAACGCCCGGATGAAACACCCCTTAAGTTTAATCCAGCTCTTTTGTGCGGAATCTTTGGTCAACAAATAACATTCTGGTTATGAATTTGGTCACCCAGCTGCCCTGATAATGGGCAGGATTGAAGTCACTGGAAAGTTATTTTATAGCTGTTACCAACAAATACATCTGTGTTCTGTTTGACATGTCAATCGTTGGAGGGTTTGGTTAGCATAGGTTAGGCTGCAAACTAATTGCCTGGCAGTACAGACAAAATCCACTCTTCGGACCTGCACAGCTGAGTGCCAGACCCAGAACACTGTCAGGCGCCTCGAGCAGCCCTGGGCCTGCTTCCCTGACGTCTGTGCCTCTCTTTAAATTCAACACAAACCATCCCGAAAGGTCATCTCCCTACTTGCTTGTTTAAAATCAGCCCAGGGTCATTCTAAAGAAGCGGTTCTCAACCTGTGGGTCGCGACCCCTTTGGGGGTCAAACGACCCTTTCACAGGGGTCGCCTAAGACCATCGGAAAACACATATATAATTACATGTTGTTTTTGTGGTTAATCACTATGCTTTAAATATATTCAATGTGTAACAATGAAATTGGGGGTCACCACAACATGAGGAACTGTATTAAAGGGTCGCGGCATTAGGAAGGTTGAGAACCACTGTTAAAGTATCTTCTCTATAATGGATTCTAGTGTCTCAGAGCCCAGAGCCTTAAAACATATTGCATTATCTGTAGTCATACTGTGAGCATAAGGTTTCATCAAGTATCAAACTTACAGTTTCTTGTGGTCCCTGCTGATCTCTTTATCTTGAGAGGGTGGGCCGTGGGGAGACCACACGATAGTGCACCCAGGATCCTTCAACAAGGGGTGGCAAAGGAAGGATGATGCTACCAAACACAGTTCATACACAGAATTCTTGGTAGTCCTTGATCCAGTAGCTTGAAAAGGGGAGTGATTTGAGTTCAATGAAGAAAGGGTAGAGTGTTCCCCTCCGTAAGAACAGAACTCAAATGTACTTCTCTCTGTCAGCTGTGCTCACCGTAGCTCTGGAGGGTGCAGAGCTTTGCCCATTTTTCCCCATCAGAGAGAATATATGGGTCTGTGGCTTGCTCTGGCATGCTCATCCCTGACTGTTATAAAGGCGGAGCACCAGCTGTTACTCCTTCGTAGGAAGTAAGTAGTGGACACCTCTTGGTGGATTTTTCACACTTATTTGCTGCAGGACATCTGTCCATTGGTCTTTTGGTAACCTTCAGAACGAGACGGAAGCAGCATTGACCCAACTATTGAAAATATCTGTTCGTCTTCCATTCCAAAAATTGCCCTGAATCCCTTGAAAAGAGCAAACTATCTTCCCTTTAAATGAAAAATAGAAAAATTAATATTGCATATGAATTTCTTTTTCCCCCAATTTGGAAGTTGGCCAAAGGACTACTAATGATAGCTAACATAATTCTCTCAAAAACAGTCATTCTATAAATAAAATAAGAGCTACATCTCCTGCAACTGAGATTTATAGAAGAAGTTCTGGGAAATGGCAAAGTGGGATTTGCAATTCAGTATGTTTACTGCTCTCAGGGGCTGTGGCCAATCTCTCATGAAGCAAGGGTTCAGTTGGGTAGAGGTTGAGTAATGAGAATAGAGATGCATTGTGTAACTCCTTCTTCCCCTTTACTTATTGTGGATCAGTGAATGTCATATCTCAAACTATGGGCCAGCTTAATAGATTCAATTTTTTAGTATCTCACATCATGAGAGCTCAGCCACAGATAACTGAGGCCATTATATCTGTCTCTGTGCTGATACTGAGTTTGTCTGACAGATTCAGGTAACGGCATTTTGGTAGACTTTCCTTTCATGGGAAAGAGGACTGATATTCAATGATTACTTATTCTAAAGCCACACCACCTTTATTTCTCATGCAAATCTGTGAGATCACTGTTATTTCCCCAAGGTTGTGGATGGGATTGGGACGCAGAGACATTAAGTAACTTGCACAAGGCAACAGGGTACCTCCACAGCTTAACACAAACATGCTCTCTTCTGGTCAGGTTTATACAGGAGAAGTGAGGTGATAATGCTGTAGAGCTGGAGTGTAGGATTTAAACCTCAGCCCATGGGACTCCAAAGCCACTGCCCCTTCTGCTGTACCATGTAACGACATCACCACATTAACTTCTTAGTTCTGCTGCTGTGTATTTTGTTCAATTTTTAAATACTGTGGTTAAAAAACACACAACATAATTTACTACCAGAACCATTTGTAAAGGTACAGTTCAGTGGTTTTAAATACATTCATAATGTTGTGCAACGATCACCACCATCCATCTCCATAACTCTTTCCATCTTGAAAAACTGAAACTCTGTTCTGATTAAACAATAACTGCTCACTCCTCCCTCCCCCCAGTCCCTGGCAACCACCATTCTACTTTCTGTCTCTATGAATTTGACTACTCTAACTCCCTCATATAAGGGAAATTATACAGCATTTGCATTTTTATGAGTGTCTTATTTTACCATAATGTCCTCAAGCTTTCTGCATGTTGCAGTATACTGTCAATTTTCTTCATTTTTAAGGCTGAATAATAGTCCATGAATATATGTACCACATTTTGCTTACCTATTCATTTGTCAATGGACACCTGGGTTGCTTTTGTGCTTTATCTATTGTGAATAATGCTTCTATAAATGCTGGTAAACAAATATCTCTTTGAGACCCTGCTTTCAATTCTTTTGGGTCTATGCCCAAAAGCAGAATTGCTGGACCACATGGTAATTCAATTTTTAATTATTCGAGCCACCTCCATTACTGTTTTCAATAGCGTCTGTACCATTTTACAGTCCCACCAACTGTACACAGGGGTACCCACTTCTCTACATCCTCACCAACCCTTGTTTCAATTTTTTAATAGTTAGCCATCTGACTGCATGTAAGGTAGTATTTCATTATAGTTTCAATTTGCATGTCCCTAATGATTAATGATATTGAGCATGTTTTCATGGGCTTATTGGCCACTTGTATATCTTTTTTTGGAGAAATGTCTATTCAAGTCCCTTGCCCATTTTTGATTGGGTTGTTTGTTTTTTGTGTCATTGTGTGTGGACTCTGGTCTGTTGTAAGAGCCTCCTAAACAACTCTCCCCCTTGCCAGACAGTCCTTGCTCCCATCTCCTGGTTACTAGATGTGTCATCCTAAAGCACAGCTACCTCGGACTTCTGCTCAAAGAGAGGAAAGCTCGCACATTCCCAAGTCAAACCCTAGAAATTGCCTGGGGTCCTCCAGGTCCTCTCTCAAAGTGTGAGGTTCTAGGACTAGAGCGCTCATTTCATGTGTTTGGATGCCTTTTCATCTAAGTAGTGCTTTCTGAGGAGCTATCATATGCAAGAGTTCTGTTTCATGATAATCTGTAAGAAGAAAAGAATAGTCTAGAACTCTTTCTCTTGTAGCCACACAAGAAAGTCTTTTTCCTTTAAGTTGTTTTCTTGCGCCACCTGGTGTTAAAACTAAACAGTGGCAAAGCAGAAACATACTCTAAATGTTTTATCCCCAAATTGAGGACTTTTAGCACAGGAAAGGAAATTTAGGGATCATTTAAACAGCTGCCTCATTTTGTGGGTTAGTAATTTATCCAGGATTTACAGGAAGGACTGAATCTAGATTTCCTGAATCCTAGGCTCCTCAATTTCTTACCACATCCCCATAGCTTCTTACTTAAGTAAGCCTCCAAAAGAATTGGGCCAGAATGATGACACCACCTTTGGAAGGAGACAAAAAAAAAAAGGATACTAACATTTACTAATCCCTTATTATAAGCCAGTTATTTTGCTAAGTACATTTACAAACATCTCCCTTGTTCTTCACAGGTCGTTTGTTCTTATTTCTGTTTTGCAAATTGACAAGTAATATTCAGATAGGTTGGGTAACTCATTAAAGTTCGTGCACCTTGAAAGGAACTGTGAGCGGTGAGGCTGTGGTGGGCACAGGGGCGGGTCTTGGCCCACCCCCCGCACCTCCGTCGGGCCCCTCCCGCCATGGCCCCTGGTCCCCTGTCTGCCGGCAGCTCTGTTCCTGCTGCTGCCGCTCGCACCCGCTGACGGTGTGGAGCTATTGGGGCTGGTGCCAGCAGCGGGTGTGAACGGTGCTGGTGCCATCAGCAGGTGGGAGCGGTGGCTGCTACCTCGATCGCCCCTCAGGAGCAGGGGGAGGTGGAGAAGCCCTCAGGGGCGATCGGGGACAGCAGCCACTGCTTGCACCCGCTGATGGCGCCGAACAATCAGGACTGGCACCGGATGCCAACAGCAGGTGCAAGTGGTGGCACTGGCTGCAGGTGTGAGCAGGGCCAGCACCAGCAGCAGGTGCGAGTGCCAGGCGGAACCGCAGCGCATGGGAGCAAAGAATTTTCACTAACGAGAGAAACCAAGATGGCGGCATAGGTAAACACCGGAGTTTGCTGCCTCGAACAACCACTTCAAAAATACAACTAAAAGACGGAAAGGACATCACCCAGAACCACAGGAAGGCTGGCTGAGGAGAGACTCTTCAACTAGAAGGAAAAACAACAGCATTACGAGGCTTAGAGGAGGCGCAGTGTGGAAAATTTAAAGGTACGGTGGTGCAGCGGTGCGCGCGCAAAGCGGGCTGGTGGCTGAGGGCGCGGTTGTCGTTTTCAATCAGGAGTGAGTCTCAGACTCTGGGCTACAGATCCGGGCGAGTCTCTAGGGACCCCGACTCAAACGGGAGAAGCGGGACTGTCTGGCTACGGTCCCTCCGAGGTTTGCAGCGGTTACGGGGACAGAGAGGCAGAGCCCCTGGAGACGGACTGAGAGCAGCCATAGCTGCTCCCTCCCCCCGCCCTGTTGAGCCCGCCCCGCCCAAGCCCTGCGCACAGCCATTTGCCAATCGCCTCAGGCAAAGGCTGGACTAGTGACTCCCCAGAGGACTGAAGTTTTCCACACAGCTGATTCCTACAGCCAGTCGGCCTGGTGGTCAAATCCCTCTAGTGTTAACTACAACAATTAAGGCTTGGCTAGAACAAGACTGCGCACAAAGACCACAAGGGGGTGCACCAAGAAAGCATAAAAGATGCGGAGACAAAAAAACATGACAGAAATGGAGGATATGGAGCTAAGAATCGCAATTTTGAGGGTTTGCAAAAAACTTGTGGAGATCCTCACGAAAACTAATGAGACCCTCGATGCTACGATAAAGAAATTAGAAAGTAAGCATACACGGACTGAAATAAAGAATATTATACCCAATAGCAGACCAGAGGAGCACAAGAATCAAACCAAAGATTTGACAAAAAACACCCAACTGGAAAAGCAAAATGAAAAAAGAATCCGAAAGTGTGAAGATAGTGTAAGGAGCCTCTGGGACAGTTTCAAGCGGAATAATATCAGAATTATTGGGGTGCCAGAAGATGAGAGACAGCAAGATTTTGAAAACCTATTTCAAGAAATAATGGCAGAAAACTTCCCCCACCTGGTGAAAGAAATGGACTTACAGGTCCAAGAAGCGCAGAGAACCCCAAACAAAAGGAATCCAAAGAGGACCACACCAAGACACATCATAATTAAAATGCCAAGATCAAAAGACAAAGAGAGAATCTTAAAAGCAGCAAGAGAAAGAGACTCAATTACCTACAAGGGAATACCCATACGACTGTCAGCTGATTTCTCAACAGAAACTTTGCAGGCCAGAAGGGAATGGCAAGAAATATTCAAAGCGCTGAATACCAAGAACCTACAACCAAGATTACTTTATCCAGCAAAGCTATCATTCAGAATTGAAGGTCAGATAAAGAGCTTCACAGACAAGGAAAAGCTAAAGGAGTTCATCACCACTAAACCAGTATTATACGAAATGCTGAAAGGTATCCTTTAAGAAGAGGAAGAAGAAAAAGGTAAAGATACAAATTGTGAACAACAAACATGCATCTATCAACAAGTGAATCTAAGAATCAAGTGAATAAATAATCTGATGTACAGAATGAACTGGTGATTATAATGAATCAGGGACATAGAAAGGGAATGGACTGACTATTCTTGGGGGGGAAAGGGGAATGTGAGATTCGGGAAGAGACT